GAATGGGAGATGCTGAGGCTGGCCGTTTGCGGCTTGAAGCACTCTTGGCCGTAGTAGGCCTGGTAGGGAGAGAAGAAGATGAACGAGCAGGTTGTTTAGTGCGACGAGAAGGAGAGGGGCTCCGAATAGACAAAGGAGTGACCAAAACAGGAGGAGGAGAAGAAATACTCGGTTGGTCTAATGAATGAAAGACACGATTGGCCTCAGTCGCAAATAATCTGCGCTTCACCGATGGCCAGAGTTGTTCAAAAAGAGGGTGAGTGGCATGACAAGAATTAAAAGGGGCTAATGAAAAGTGGCTTGATAAATGGAGGTTGCGAGCGTTTATAGCCTCTGCTTCCACCTTATTAATGGTATGAAAACGGTCAATTAAGTTCTTCGAATAGCAAAGAGGAACAGGCCAAGTTTGGCTAAAACCAAGCTGACGAGCAAAAAATTGGGGAGCATAAATTTCTACCCCCGCTTTGGCATTGGTCCCAGTTAAGATATCATGGAAAAGCTCCCTCCCAGTTAAAAAATGGATCCAAATGAGCAGAGAGGTGCTCGCGCTATCTATAGTGAAAGGGGGATGTACATAGTTTGGAGTCAAGAAAGGAGGGAAAGGAAAAAAGGAAGAGATTGAATCTAAAGAATAAAAGAATGAAAAAATGTCCCTTCTAGACATATTTACAGGAATTAAGGGCTCCATAGCTAGCTCGTAACAGCTAGCAGAAGGACGAGAAATAGATGGAGCACCAAGTGATGGAAAATAGAATCTCAACCACAGTTGAGTGAACCAAAGAGGTCCACTGCTAGTGGGAGAAGCACCATTCTTCAGTTGAGCTTGAAGAAAAGCCATGCCTCTATAAAGGGCAGCCAAAAACAAAGAACATAAATTCAAAGGCCTGCCACGCGCCAATTCGTGCGCTATAGGTAAATAACTCAAAGAAGGCTTTATACTTGGCACGCACAAAACATATTTACAAAGCCAAACTAAAAGAAAGGCCACTCGCTCAGCATGGGTAGGCTCAGTGCTCGAATGATTGTGGAAGGTCTGCAGGCTTAAATAAGAATCGGTGTAGTTTTTGCCAAACTTTGGAGCGCCGCCAGAAACTAAGATACCGGGGAAAATAGTATCGTCCAAAGGTGGCAGATTCACCAGAGCCCCAACATCCCTTAACGTAATAGACATGGGGCCAAGACGAAAAATAAATGTGTTATACTCAGGGGACCAAAAACTCAAAGCAATCGAAAAGAGCGCTGAATCAAAAGTAGGGGGACGAATAGAGACTTCTAACAAATCAGAGATCCTAGCGCTATCAAAAAGTGCCTTAGTAGGACCATGACCCACAAGACGAGCATGCCACCTACGAAAAGCTACATCAGATTTAGGCTAAGTGCGAATACCTCTTTCGCGAAGTGGCCCCAGCGGTAGAGAGTTCAGGAATGGAGAACCCTGAGTGCAGGGAAACAGCTGACCCACCGCCGCCTGTTCAACTGCCTTCGCATTGTTGAAGAAAGGACCCAAATAGAACTAATTACGTCCAACGTCGGCGGGTGCGAGAAAACTTGGGGTTATGTATGGACGACTCAGAAGTCTCTGAAAGTCATCAAAACTAAAGGAGTCGCTAGCCTGAGATTGTGAAGCAGCCATTGGAGAAGGAACGAAACTTTTCAGGGTTACGTAACAAGGAAGCAAAAGATGAACAGTTAATCGTGAAAGAGACGCAAAAAATATGAGGCGTGGTTTGGCAGCAGTGAAATGGCGTGTTTGGGGTTTATAAGGGTTTGCAAAACGACGCACCTTTTCAAGTTATAGAAAGAAACAATGATTGAAATTCTTGGGAATTTCGAACGTTGCTGGAAACACGAAGTGAATATGGCAAAATTCAATAATTGTTATTAATTCTGCCATATTGGGGGGTAATTGTTGATACATAAAAATTCAGCCCAAATCGAACAGCCCAAGGAGTAAAGCCCAATTGGAGGATCCCCAAATCAGATAGCCCAAAGAACGAAATCCAATCGAACGAATCAAGGTGAAAGCCCAAATAAGGGGGCCCAAGAATGTGGTAACGCCATCGCCCAAGTTTGCAAGTCGCCCAAAATCTGAACGAATAGGGTGTCATACGGTCGCCCAGAGCTGTTATTCTATTCTCGCCCAAACCTTCAAGTCGCCCAAGGTATCAACAGACATAACGCGTCGTGGTTATCAAGAAATGCAGTTACCAAGGCAGTTGTTAAAGCAGCCCTATCAGGTTCCACGACTCAAGGAATTCAATCGAAAAGCAGTTGAACGATGAAAGGTAATGGCAGCAGTTAAAAGGCAGTTTTCATGACAAAATGGCCACTACGAAGAAAGTGGGTAGTTATAGGACAATCAAGCAGTTTTTAGAGCAGTTAATCACAAAGAGATCGTCTGTGAAGTATAAAAGGGAAAAGGAACATAGAAGTAAGGACCGAATCCAAAACTCTCAAACAGAGAATATGTAATTTTCATTTCCTTAGTTTTTAGGCTTAAACACTTTTCTTTCAGTAACTCGTGTGCTTGCGCCCCTTGGAGGCACGTTATTTTTCATTTCCAATTGTAAAGTTATCGCCAATAAAAGAACACCCCTTTTTAGGACTTTGTCTCAAGAGGTTTCGTCCCTTACACAATCGTCTGACCCTTTTTAATTGTTAACGACTTAACCCGCGCGAAACAATACCACTTCTCCTGAAATTATAGCTTACATATTTCTATCTTCGAGTTTTACCATTAAAATTTTTTTATTATTTTAGAACTCACTTCATTACTTATTAGTCAGTTTACAGAAAAATTTATGCTTAGCCAAACGCAATCAACTCCTTTACTTATATACAAGTAATTCACAATTGAATTCCAATATTTTAGAAATAAATATCAGAACCTATTTGCATTATGGCATTGAAAATATATATGAACAAGCAATTAGAGCTTCGTACTTTAATCAAATAATCACAAATAAAAAAAAATAAAATCATTCATTAATGTCATAGTTAGCAAAAACCATTGATTCAAAATAAATCACCCACTGTACATCACAATATCTCACCTGTGACTTCATAGCACATTTCAAATTCCACTGCCTCTCAGATTTCACTTCAGTTCTCTGCATAGAGACTGGTATAAACAATTAAAAACTTCAGACGAAAATTCACAGTAATTAATCTGGAGCTCAAAAAATAAAATTATTTTCCTAAATTAATTTTTCTACCAAATTTCACTGGATATTAAGTGAAAATTTTGAAGGAAAAAAATTACAGATGAGAAATGTCGAGATGATAAGCCAGGGAACGCTGGTGAAAAGACCGCCATTGAAGAGTTGACTGAGCTCTACTTTTCATCGGACGATTTAACTGAGTCAATGAGATAGTTAATGGGCCCAATATACAATATGGGCTTGGACCCCAAATTAGTACCAGTTTGGGCCCATGTTGAATTGTTGTTGACTAGGTGGTGCATAGTGTAATTTTTTCATAGAACGTACTACTTGTATATAATGCGATATTTATATCGGTGTCCAACATTTTTACATGAAGAGGACCCACTTTGAATATAATGATTGACACCGATATAAACATCCGAATTTACATGTAGCATCACCATTTTTAATTTCTTAATTGACCAAAATTGATTTACGATATCTTTCTGTGTTTCAAATTAGGCTCGAACATGCACAAATGAGAATCAAGTCAGTACTATCCTCTCGCTTTTATTCACATGTAAGAACATCACAACTTAACAATTTTTATGAATGAAGCACGAAAAATAATGAACTAATAACAGCACTATGATACAAATATTAATGAAACTCTTGTTATGGCACCAAAAAAAAAAAAAAAGTTTTAGTTAAAACTTTCATAACATGGCAAAAATGTCTTTCTCATCTTTTGGGAATTGAAATAAAAAGGTTATTTATTGAAAAATACCTAAAATACACTTCCTAAAAGAATATTCAAAATTTATTAATTTTGCAAATTGAGTTAAAACCTATATGAAAGTATATTCAAATACAATCTTTTATGAAAAAAAGTTCTTCACTCACATGATACGATATTAGATCATAAGCTTTTATTAATTTTACTATATTAAGACAATATAAATACTTATTTCCTAAATTACCATTTGAATCATAATCTTCAAAAATAACAAACTTATACTTATTTTTAGGAAATTAGCGGCAAAAGTCCCTAACCTTTCACATGAGGAGCATTTTGGGACTCCAAGCTACTAAAAGGGTCAATCATATTCTCAACTTTTCATTATTTTTTGCAACAGCGAGGTCCTTTTGGATGAAAGTGTTCTGGAAATTGGAATTGTCAAATTAGGACGTGAAATAATTTAAAGGTCTCGTGATGATTTCGCCCTTAGAAATGATGAACTACGTGCACAAAGTGCTAGAGCCTGTTTGTAAGAGATTTTGATAATTGATTTTTTAACTGTTAGGAGAAAAGTGGGGTCTACCTATGAGAGAAGAAGTCAAATATGATTGTTGGAATAGCGTAATAATGGTCAAAAAATTAATATGGAAATTGGAATTGTCAAATTAGGACGTGAAATAATTTAAAGGTCTCGTGATGATTTCGCCCTTAGAAATGATGAACTACGTGCACAAAGTGCTAGAGCCTGTTTGTAAGAGATTTTGATAATTGATTTTTTAACCGTTAGGAGAAAAGTGGGGTCTACCTATGAGAGAAGAAGTCAAATATGATTGTTGGAATAGCGTAATAATGGTCAAAAAATTAATTTTTTGGGCAAAAAATAGTTCCCAAACAAGCTGCTAATGTGACGGTTTTTGTATGAAAGAATCTTAACTTACAAAAATGAAATATAATAAATAGAATAAATAAAAAGATGATTGTTCCTCTTATTAGGTTAGAGACAAATGTGTATCACGTGAAAGGTTAGGGACTCAGCTACTATTTTCTCAAAACAAGTTCACTGAAATAAACGACCCCGTTTTACCATTTATATGACAACGGTGCACGAAAATCATTACGTGTAAACGGGTAAAACTCCCACCTGATATTATTTGTAAATTGTAATATACGGATACTGTAAACTTGACAAAATCTCAATATATTCAAGAATCACTGTCTGCTGCTTCCTTTGCTCAAAGTTTAAAACCCGAAAAAATTCTCTGCTTATAGCTTACCCAACTCATTTTTAGTGACATTTCGTGAGCAAAAAGGAGAAAAATTCTGTCTAGCGAAAAAGCGCGGAAATTTTGTCAAAATTGTGGTTCCCCAAAAACCCTAATTGGACTTGTTTTGTAATGCTTAAACTCGAACCTGTTTGGATATATTTGTTGGTTAGTTGAAATTTGACGAGATTGAACTGAATCGGATGGAGAGATCCAGATCTAAGAGGTATTATTATGACCAGGACTATGATTCCGAAAACTTACACTCGAGGACGAAACAACGCTATAGTGGTTCCCATAGCGGCGGCGGAGGAGGCGGAGTGGGAGGAGGACAACATTTTGTTTCCGGTAACCACCGTCGATCTGTTGGGGGAGGTGGGAGTGGTGGTGGTGGTGGTGGTGGACGGAAAGTGCAGGACCTTTCATTGATGGTTACAACCAGTTATCGAATTCTTTGCCATGACTTAAAGGCTGGGGGTGTTATTGGAAAATCCGGGAGCATCATAAAGGCCATTAGACAGCATACTGGGGCGTGGATCAATGTGCACGAGCTGATTCCCGGGGATGAAGAGAGAATTATTGAAATTTCTGATACAAGGAGACGGGACCCAGATGGCCGGATGCCTGCGTTTTCGCCTGCTCAAGAGGCACTGTACTTGATTCATGAACGCATTTTGGAGAACGATGTTGGAGGGTTTAAACATAATGTTGGGTTTGGTGATGATCCAATTGACGAGTATGGGCCGAGGGGAAGTGGTGGTGGGACTGGTAATAATGGTAACCGGGTGGTGACGAGATTGGTAGTGTCACGAATGCATGTGGGGTCATTGCTTGGGAAAGGAGGGAAGATAATTGAGCAAATGAGGATTGAGACTAAGACACAGATTAGGATTTTACCACGAGATCACACATTGCCACGTTGTGTTGCAATGTCAGAAGAAATTGTTCAGGTTCTTGATTCTCGTTTCATTTGGAGCTTTGCGTGTTTAATTCGCATCCCAGGTGGAAAGCTTTTAAGCTGTGGTACAATAAAGATTATATTGAGTAGATACATCCCTGGCTTTTAAACTGGAAGAATGACCCAAACTAGCTATGATTTTTGAAGTTGCAGTTACACTTAAAACTTAAATAAGCGATAACCATATGGTATTACAAGCATGAGAGGATTGTGATATGAGCACAACTATCTAATGCAAAATTGATAGTGTGATAATCTTATCTTAAATGTGGGCTGTAGTTCATCTCTATAGGATGACGTGGCTTGTTGACACTTGACAATGATGCAATTGTTGACATGTGATAGTGATGAACATAGTTGAGTGATTAGAAGCAGTCATTAAATGTTTGACTCATTAAATTTATGAATTGAAAGAATATAAAAGTATGAATATCCATTTATCAAAAATATGTAGCTAGAGTACTAGAACCAATTCTGAACTATGTCTTTTTATGTTCCAAGCGATCCTTTTGAGCAATGCAGGCCTGTTGTAATGTGTAGGCTACTAACATGTCCTTCAGTTATATTCATTTAGTGACTTTCTGAAATCTTGAAGTTTGATTTTGTGGTTTTAATTCTTTCCATCTTGAAGCTATGCACATTTGATGTAATTTTGGATATTTCTCATTGAAGAAAAAGCAGAAAGATCACCAAACAATTATTGAACTTGCCTCTGAGTTAGAGCCATGTTATTCATGATAAATACTGTTAACCTCATTTGTGGGTTGATGAATATAACAGATGTATATATGCTGAAGTATTTATCTAAAGAACATTTTTGTATATATTACTTATTTATAACTTGAAAGTTAAAAAGTTCATTTGATTCTAAGATAGTACTTACTTTCAAAATTAACTAACTTACTTATATTCAAATTTGATTGATAAAATATTGTTTAATTTAAAACTTGCTTATTTTCTCACAAGTAAATCTCTTAAGCTTAAGCAAACATGCACAAAATGGTCATTTGTATTCTTTCCAAAGTGAATAAACTCGTTCTTAAATATCATGAACCTATTCATTTTGCTATATGGTGAAATTAAATTATAATAGTACCATCTGGCCTTGCATGGAAGAACTTTCTCAATTTGATTTCAGGCACTGAGAAATTTGTTATCTTTTACAGGTTGTTGGAGATATGAATGCTGTAAAGAATGCTGTAGCAATTATTTCCTCACGCTTAAGAGAGAGTCAACATCGTGACAGAAGCCATTTTCATAATCGGCTACATTCCCCTGAGCGTTTCTTTCCTCCAGATGATAATTTTATCCCTATTAACACTGCATCAAGAAAGTCTTCTGTGGAAGGACCAAATTATGGATCAAGGATTCCTGCTGGTTCCAGGAGCAATAACTATTCTTCGCATCCTTCTGGATATCTTACTGAATCTGTACCTGAATTTGCGGGTGACAATACACAAGCTTTTTCTGGTGAAGATCTTGTGTTTCGAATACTTTGCCCAGCTGACAAGGTTGATAGTGTTTTTGGGGAGTCAAATGCGTTTATGGAGTTGCTTCAAGAAGAAATAGGAGTGGATGTTAAGGTTGCAGATCCAGTTGCTGGTGTGGACGAACACATAATTATTATTTCATCTGAGGAGGTACATTTCCTTATCTCTTAGCCCAGGTTGGTTGTGTTGAACAGTTGCATGGAGGGGTAGGGGGAAGTAGAAATGGAAGTAAAAGGTATATTTCACCTTGTCCAGTTTGGGTGACTGGTGAGAAAAGAGCGAGGAAGTAAAAGTCAAGTATCAACCCTTCCGGGTCTGTTTTACTTTCCCTCCCAAAATTGGAGGAAAAGAAGGTAAAAGTAGTGAAAAAGATTAATCTGACCTCAATTGCAGTATACTGACTAAGAGCATCTTTTGAGCTTAGCCAAACTTGCTCTAAATTTATGTAAAAATAATTCTCTCCTCTACATCTCCCCTCTCCTTTTTTGTGCTATAGAGAGTAGAGTAGAAAATTATCTTTCTTTAGGTGGTTATAATTTGCATCAACTATTCTTTGAGCATTCTTGTTTTTCTACATTTTTCCAACTTTTGCTTAAAATTGAATATCTTATCAAGTGTATATTCTGGGTTAAGATTTGTCTAGCTTTTTGCATTTTCTACTAGGCCCTGAATATCTTTTCTAAAATATATCTCTTAGGGCCCTGATGATGAGCTGTTCCCTGCTCAAGAAGCTTTGTTGCATATTCAAACCCGAATTGTCGACCTCGTCCCAGAAAAAGAAAACATTATCACCACTCGGTTACTTCTGCAGTCGGATGAACTTGGATGCTTAGGGTTAAAAGATGGAATGTTACCTGAGATGAGGAAAATAACTGGTGCAAACATACACATTTTGCCTAGGGAAGAACAGCCTGCATTTGTATCTGAAACTGATGAAATTTTACAGGTTTGCCATTTTATATACATGTGATTGTAGAAGTCTTGTATTCATTTAATGCATATGAGTTTCTGTAACTTCGTATGGTACTTGTTTGGTCATCCAAAGCATAAGAAACTGTGTCTGCTGTATCAGACGATATGACCCAGCAGTATCATATGAAGCAAGAGCTCGATTGATTCTGGGCTTGTTTGGCTATGAAAGTTACTTTTCTACATTAAAAATTTTCTAGCAACATTAAACAAGTTAGCCAGAATGAGGAATGACAATTTTGGTGTTCTAAATTCCACTTTCATCCACAGATTGTTGGGGAGATCAAAGCTGCTCGTGAGGCTCTAGTCGAGGTAACATCAAAGCTGAGGAGTTACATTTATCGAGAGTTCCTAGAGCTGGATGCTCCAACTCCGATTTCTGCTTCTAACACTGCGGAGGTGGAACACAAGGCAATTTCTAGCAACAGCATTACACAATCTCAAGAAATTCACTCTGGGAATAGTCCAACCAAATCAACTCATCAGGGTACACCAACTGTAGTAACAGAACAGCAAGCAAAAGTAAGTAATTTAGCCTCCCTTTGGGAAGAATTTATAAATGGTTTTATTTATAAATAGACCATTTATAAATGATTTATAATTTTTGCCAAACAGACACTTATCATGCTTCTTTCTTCTGAAATCACACTGTTTTTGCTGTTGCTGCTTCTATTGTTGTATCTTGACTGCCTTATATTTTAAAATTTTCAGCCAACAGTAATTTCCGTTCCATCCTTTCTTTTTTATCCATGAAGCCAGATAATCGACCATTCCAAAGCTTCACAAATATGAATTTTTTTACTGGGTTTCCAGTTGGGTAAAATACATCGGGTTAGTGAAATTTCATGTTGGTGGATTTCATTTTGTTTCATGCACTATTCTAAAAAGCATCCCTAGGAGGCACCTAGGGGTTGCCTAGGCGCCGGCTCAGTCAAAGCGCTTTGCCTGGGCATTAAGCACGAATTAAGCGGTCAATTGTTATATTGACTGCTTAATGCTCGCCTTGGCGTGCTTTATTATTATTTTTATTTTTTCCTTTATTTGACTTTAGTTTATTGATTTTTTAATTTTTTTTTTCTTTTTTAAAAGGCTTTTATTTGACTTCGTTTCAAGTTTTAAATGATTTCATTTGTACAAAAGTCAAAAATGACTTTATCTTTTATAGATAAGATTTAAGTTACGGTACTATCTATATTTTGCAATTATGATTTTGAGATTTATCTTATTGTTGGAAACTTCGAAATTATATGTGAGTTCCCTATAAATTTGTTAAGTAGGACTTATCTAGTTGAAAATTGAAACTATGAAAAATTGTCTAGCATTTGCATTTCGAAAACTTGAAAATTGTATAATTGACTAATTATATGTATTATTAGCTAAATATAGAATTTATTAATTTTAATTGTTTGATATGTATTATTTTAATTAGTAAATAATTTTTAGAATGATTAAATATTTAATATAATAATAAAATTAAGTAATGCTTTTTTACATCTATGCCTCATCTAGGCTAGCCTAGCTTCAAGCTTGACCTCTAGCCTAATTATGCTTTACGCTTTTTAGAACACTGGTTTCAAGTTGTTTGTTAAATTTTAACTTTGTTCTATTTTATGGCACATTGTCGTGTTTGTTATTCGTCTAACTATGGGACTGAAAAAGTGACATGGCTATCTGCTTATTTGCCAACTGGATTGCTAGGTCAACTTTTTGGTTAGTCAAATCAATGGACATGAATGACCAAGTTGCAACAAATATTTAATTTCAGTTACCAACTTGCAACAAAATGAAGTTTAGTGATGAAATTTCAGTGACCACTAGATGACTTGTTTCCTTCGGGAAGGACTTTGCTGCTTGCATTATTACAATCATCCAATTTTGTATCTCCTTATTTTCACATTTAAAAAAATTACTACTTTATTTGCAGGATGTGGGGCCCTCGGGTAGTGAATCAGTGAAGCAAAATGGAAGTGAACGTCGTGAAGATATTCCTAATATATTGAATAGGTAGTAAATTTTTGTTCATTTTTCGTCGGGTGGAATTTCATGTTAATATTATTTCATATTCATTTTCTTTTTCCCAGATTATCTGTACCACTCGTTACTAGAAGTACATTGGAAATTGTTATAACACCAAATGTGGCATCCAAACTCGTAACAAAATCAAGAAACAAGCTCACTTTTATCAGTGAGGTGAGTCGAGCATCTGTGGTTTGTTTTCTTTTTGATATCATTTTCAGATGAGGAGATTATACAAATCAATGACAAAAAATTTGTTGCAAACAGTTATCAGGAGCGAATGTTAAATTGATGGAAGATAGACCAGAGGTAACAGAGAAGATCATTCAAATATCAGGGACTCCGGAGCAAGCTGAGAGAGCTCAGAGCTTGCTACAAGGATTTATTTTGAGCAGTTAGTCCCTTTCTCTTTCTCTCTTCCCCACCCCACAATACCTGGAGGGGGGGGGGGGGGGGGAAGCCTTTCTCACTCCTACTCTCTTGCCATGTCTGGTAAGATTGAATGCGTAGTACTAGTCAATATTGGGCAAGAAAAAGAATTTAAAATCTTGTCTATTAAGCCCTTGTTTGAGCCCCATTCTTTTGATAAGAATGAATTTTTGAATAGTGCATTGATGAGAAATGTGTGGTTAAAAAATAAGGAAAATTTTTGGAATTGTGTGTAATATTATTTTATTGAAGAATGTGTGGTTAGAATGATGTCAAAACATTGTTTAAGAATGTTTCTTTTTTCAAAGAATGGGTATCAAACAGGGGCTAATATTGTTCAGTCCTATAAACTAAGGGTCAATTTTGGCATGCTAGATTCGACCATTTAAGTAATTTAGTATTAAATTATAAGGTACTGCACTAGGTAGATGGTATAATGGTGGATTAAGGTTTCATTTTTATTTTATTTTTATTTTTTACATTCAAAAGAATGTCATCTTTTCTAATCAAGCCTAAACTCATCTCCAACCTGTGTATTATTAATAGTGCAATGATATTATTTTTAATGAAAAATTAAACAATGCTAACAACCTTAATCCATCATAATACCGTGTACTTAGTATTGTTCATTATAAATTTATGCTAAATTTCTTATACGGCCTATCCGGTGAATGCTGCTTACTGCATGCATACATTTTTGGACAATTATGTAACACTGCACCTACTTATTCAGCCGAGGAAGATGGCCCTTAGATGTCGTCAGGCGGGCAAGACTCCATTGAAGAGGCAACTTGTGACTTCTATCAGTAGCCTGAGTTTTCCATTTCCAGTCAATATTTTATGTTCTGCTCCATTACCCAAGCAGTGGAGCGGCTGCCTTTTCGTAGAAGAAAGCTTTTTAACCAGCATGTACAAACTGAAATTGCCTGTCATTTAAGTGTGATGCCTAGAACTCCCTATGTTTGTATGGTGCAGTTTACCGAGTTTTCTGGATAGATCCTGGAACGGATTAAATACATGTTTTGTATCTGATATTTGTTTCCAGATAATTTTTTTGAGATAAATAGCTTTTGTAATGTGGATTATTTTGAAGCTTAGCAAAGGGATTCTTGTTTTGGAATTGCTCAGAAACAATTAGTAACTGGTTCCAGGTGAGCTCTGATTGAAACAAGACTCTCATTGTTTAGTTGCTCGTCTGCAGATGCCTAGAACGATCCTTTCAAGTCTTCTCGACAATATCAGGAGCATCCCCTGGTTTGGGATTTGGTTGTACCACCATTCACTTTCACGGTAACCAAATATTGTGATGAGAAAAGGGTCCGAGGCAACCTCCACAGTTGTGCCTGGGACATAAGCTCTCACCCAGGTAGACTGTTTTAGGAAATCAACACGGTTTTATTTTTTCATAGATATAGCTAGACAAAGTTTCTGGCTCGTTTAAGGGCTTCCGAACTTGGTAGCCAAACAAAGACTGGACTCGTTTTCTTAAAACGTTTTCAGTTAGTCTGTTGCTTTTTAGGTGTCCTGGTGCTTTAAGAAGTACTCGGCTATTCAGGGGATCCTTCTGGGCCATTGTTTCTTCACGAAGAAACAATAATGATATGTTTGGTTAGGTGGACTTGATAAAAAAATTAATAATAAAATTATTGAGCCTGGACTTTTTTTGTTTTCAGTTTACTTATTTCTCTCATAACTGGGGCTGTCTAAATCCCTTACGGTTTTGTGCATGATAAGAAATCTTGAGTGAACTTAACATAACTTTGCTCTTAGAAGTAACTGACAAGCGCGGAGAATTTAGTGCAAGAGATATGCAGCAAATGAAGAGTGACAGCTCTATGACATGTTGAACGAGGACAAATAAGTTATTTCATTTTTAATATCTAAAAACCAGCCCTTCAATATATAGCCACGAGGTTTTAACCATCATTTCTATTCACATTATTGGAATGGTATGTTTGTGGTTGTCCGAACTTTCTTTGCTTAATTAGCACGTTTGAAATTGTAGATAATCCAATTATTTTTGGCCCTTTTGTCATAAAGGAGGGTCACCACCCACCCCATCCCTTATGAAAATAGAAAGGCCGATGACCCCGACACTTTCTTTTTCCCCAACTCCCATCCACACCGCTGGAACCCAAACATGCTCTAGCAACAACATCAAACATGAAATGTCGGCTTAGAAGTGCTCGCGAAGCTGAGGTAATTGCAGCCTATACCCTACAATCACAAAAAAATACTATCCACATCAAACTTCAATCGGGTCACCAAAATTTGTTCCACTGAAGTTGAATGGAAGCAAATGAGGGTGGTAATGAATGAAACCCTAGAGGAGTGCCCACTGGTGAGAGACTAGTGGTCAACGACGAAAGAGAAGAACATGTTCTTGCAGTAAATTGGGCGAGGACATTGGATGAGGTGTTTGAGAAGGCCAATGAAGAAAAGTGAGAGAATGATGGGAAAAACGAGATAGCCATTGTTGGAGAACTTGAGGAATTTAATGACCGAGAAGGGTAACATAGGATAAGATAGGAATTTGAGGACCGAGAACTTGAAGAATTTAGGGGAAAGAAGGTGTAGAGATGGAGTGAGATTCCTGTGTCTAGGTTTATTAGGTGGCTAATTAGGGTTGGAGAGGGTGGTTGTGGTTGTTTAGATACCATGATTTTTGATTTTCTGGTGAACCTCAATTCAGTTTAGGTGGTCGACGGTTGTCATTGTTGTTTGTGGTTTTGGAACAGGGTACAGTGGATGAGGGGTGGAAGATGAATATTTTCATTTTCATTTTCCTTTTTTTTATAATTTCTTAATTTAATTTTTAACTTATTTTTATGGATAATATGCAAAGTTACCATTTTGCCCTTACTGATCAAAATGGGGGTCAAAGTTGGTTCTTTGGTCAACTAACAATCAAATGGATGGATTTCATCCATCTGGACTCCAGGTGCATATTATAAAAGGTTAGGGGACCTTTACTGACACAAAATGAAAGTTGGGGTAAAGTCCGTAAAAATTGAAAAGGTTGGGGACCACCGATACAATTTTCCCTTTTTGTAAAAAATAAAATAAAAATATTAACAGTATTCAAATAAAATAATATGGAGTACAGTCGGAGCCTTAGGAGTCTTTAACCCAAGCAACTACCAGAGCCAACCGTCCTACGTGGCCCCACCCTTCACTCTTTATCAGCCACGTGCAAGTGCAGTCACACCAACCCCGTATCCGGTCCATCAAAATTTAACCCGAATATCAATCAAAAAATATAACATGTACTACCATTTTCTCTTCTCTTCTCTGCTATATATGAAATTTTTTCCATGGTATACACTCTTTCTGAAACTAGCACAAAAGAGAAATACGAAAAAGTAAAAAAACAATAAACAATAAAAGAAGAAATTACAATAAATGTCCACTTTTACACGGTCATTTGAAAAAATATCCAAAATTTGTTCCATGTCGATTTTGATAAAATTTAGACCAAAATAGTCTCAATTGACAATTTCAAATCCCATCACAAACAAAATTGTTCATATAATAATTATAAAATATGTTAGCAAATAAAAATTTGACACAAAATCTATACTGCCTATTTGAAAAGTGCAAATATCAATTCATACATTAAATGTTAAAAAAAAAAGGTTGAACCCCAACCCTAAGGGCCCCCACCGACCCTGCCTTGGGCTATCGTGGAGGAGGTAAATCGCAGGATGTGCCTCCCAGAAGCCAGGGTGGAGAGCACATGGATAGGCCAAGACTGTTAACCCATTGTTGTTGTTGTTATTGTTATTTGGAGACAACTTGTTGATATTTATGAAGTTTTTGCAAAAATGTTGGTTTCATGAATTTATTTAGTTCGATTATGAATATTATATTTGGTCGACCCATGAAAATCTCAAAGCATATATTTTCTCAGATATCGTAACCTTCCTTCCAACAACTAAGTAAGATCTAGAGACTGTTTTAACTAGGGATGACAATGGGCCGAGTCGGCTCGATCCACGAGCTCGTGATTTTTTAATTTTTTTAGTAAATGTGCACTTTTTTGACGAGCCCACGGGCTCGATGAGCCAAGCAGGCTCGGCTAGTAGGATTGAGCCCCCTACTCAGCTCGGGCTCGGGTTCAGGCTCATCATTTAACGAGTCTGAGCCACCCACTAGCCGAGTTTTAACAAGTCGATGAACTGCTCGCCCGTTTGACATCCCTAGTTTTAACAATCTACGAAGTGTTTGAAATTGGAAAACTAAACCAGTAAAGGAAAGTGATTCAATAATGATAGGTGTTCATAAAGAACTAGAGATTATTTATTTGGAAAAAATCCTAATTGAGATTGAAAATAGATTAATTGCATATCATGGAAGGAATTTGGAGGAAGAAAGCTTAAGAAATTCTACCGAAATTGTTATTGAAAGTGGCCAACTCTCATATTTGGAAACGACCTTCGATTTGGAGTTTCTTATTGCGCATAGAGGAGCCTATTCTTTATATAAAGATGCAGATTGATACTTTTAAGCTTGAGGAAGGAGATCATAAAGAGTGAAAGAAACTCTTAGAGGATGGGAAGAGTACACTTGATAGCATGACTGGCATTGACCCATCTGCGTATGCCAGCTACTATTGGATTTCATCTCAACTTCATAAATCTTGTCAAGAATTTGCAAATTTTTATAAAAGCACTCTTCTTTATTTAACATACATTTCTATAGAGTCCCTGTCAGAATCATTTAAGCTGGTACAGTAATAAATGTCTTTTTTTAATCATTTAAGGAGAAGCTTACTATCATTAGTGCCTCCCATGTAATAAAAATGAAGATCGCTGGTTTGAGAGCTTGACATATGGATGTTGAGAACAAATTATATCAGATAGTTCTTTTTCTCATCATTAAGAAGTAGGTGCTTAACTTTTGTTAGATTTAGGGATTACACATGCAATTATTGTTCATAAAGCAATCACCTATAGAGGGAGCTAAGTCCTTCCTTGCTGAAATAGATAGTGATGTAGTGTCAGAAAGTCAAGGACTATTTAACAGAGGATCTTGTGGTTGGTGCATTGGGTATGTCTTCTTTCTTTCCAGAGCTAGCCTTGGTGAGATGAATCATTTTCTACCTTTTTGTGTCTTCTTAGGGATTTCTTGCATGAAATTTATATTCTTATTCATCTAAAGTTCAAGTAATTCTATTGAACATTCTTTATTTTGATGTGCTATATTTTCTATTTGACCTGATGACCTTCCTCCTACTTACCTGGACTTTCTATTGTTAGTATCTTGTTTTTCTCCTCAAAACCTTGCATCATTTATTTAATGACAGAAAAAATGTTGCATACATGTCTAAAGGTATTTCAGTGTTATTCATATAATTATACTAGATTATTGCTTTTTGATTTTATATTATGGCAATTTCTTTGACTCTTATTTGGTCAATTTCGTGGTGATTTTTTTAAAAGGTTTGTAACCATTTTAAATTCTAAACTATATAGTTGACAATGCTTTGCTTGGAGTAATTTTCAGGGTGAAGGTCCCAAGTGCTAGCACTCGGACTCCTTTCACGGGGTCTGATCGTAATAAGGGTAAGAGAGGTATATAGTTAATTTACAATGTTGGTGGAGCATAGCATTATGTGTTTGGAAAAATATTTATAACCTCATTTTGTATACCATCATTAGACAGATTTTTGGGTTGATGGTACAGTTCTCATTGTTGATGTATAATTTTAATGGAAATGAGAATATTTTGTTTCAATATGTACCTGTTGTTCAGGATTTATATTGTACACGGATTTACGAACTGTCGTTCCTGATATTTGAAATATCAGTTGTCGAGAATAAAAAGGTATTTAATATCGAGAATAATAATTCAAAAGTCGAGAAATGTATAGAACTCTAGGAAATGGAATGAAATCTCGTTCTAGATACATGAACCGTTAAGTGTCAAGATAAACAGAATCCAAATATCGACAACTTTCCAACTGACGAGAACATCGTGAAATGTCAAGAACAATTTTGAACTATTTGACTTGCTAGCAAGATGACAATTAGATTTTTAAAAAGACTTACAATAAACTAATTAGACGTAGAAGTTCCTCAACATGATTTTAAAGAGATATGTGTTATAAATCTATGCTGA